GAAGGCTCCAAAAAGCCCACATCCCTGGTGACTTTAGGGGTAGCTCCACCCCTAAAGTCCCGCCTAAATCGTATCATACTTGGGCACAAAGCCAGCTTGTGGCAGACACATCGTCACCCCTAGACTACAGGGTACGCAGGTGGCCTCCTTTAGTTCAGCCACGTGATTTTCTCTGTCCCTTCTCCTGCCTCAGTCTCTGGGGCCTGGAGGACTCACCCAGGCATTGCTTTGCCCAAAATAAACCCTCTCTTTTACTTTTTAAATTCAGCTTGATCTGGCTTACTAGCTGGTCAGAGAAACCTATTCCAGGGTACAGAAAACCTATTATAGGAAAGAGCTCAATAACATACTTCAGGCACATTTTTTTGTATCAAGGGCAACTGTCAGAGTATAGCAGAAAGTCTGAAGGTAGGGGTGTTATAGTTTGGATATGGTGAGCGTCTGCCAAAGACCCATGCATCAAGTGTAAGGAGGCAGGGCTGGAGGAGAGGACTTTAGGGAACGGCGAGGCAGGCCCTTGAGCGGCATTATGGCAGGCTGGAGAAATGGCAGTGGATGGCACCCAGATGGCCACATGGTGGCTCCCAGCCATTTTTAACCCCAGTTCAGGGGATCTGATGCCCTCTCTGGCCTCTCCAGGCACCAGAAGCCACAAGGCGCGCGCGCGCGCACACACACACACACACACACACACACACACACACACACACACACAAGCAAAACGCCCATATACATGAGTAAAATAATGATTAAAAAAAAAAAAAAAGCACCGCAACCCTGCCTTTTCTGTTTCTTACCCTGATTTTTGATGTGAGAGTTGGTTTCTACTCATACGCCTGTCATAGTGGACCACCTTCACCCAAGGCCAGGCTCATCTTCCCAACTATAAACCAAACAAAACCTTTCCCTGTACAAAGTTAGTTGTGTTAGAACTAAAAACAAACAGAAACCAAGTTCATGCGTATCTGATTAAAGCAAGCTGTATTTAGAACTGGTCGGCTGGCTGCCTCTCCCCGAGCCGGGATTTCAGAGAGCAGCCCCTCCGTGGCTTTTGAAGTCTCTTTTAGGGGAAGGGTTGGGGTGGACAGGAAACAGCTGTCAGGATAATTAGCTGTTAGCACCTGGAGAGAAGAGAGGGGGGGACTCAGGGCTCCATGCTGCGTGTGGGTAGTTAGGTGTGATAGAAGGCTCCAGACTGCTACCTGAGGAGTAGATAAGAGCAGGAGTAGGAGTCATCAGGGTATCTGGGAAGATGCCTTTCGGTAAAGCAAAAAGGCAATCATATACCACAAGTGCAGGACTTCGGCAAGGCAAGGGGGCAGACGTACTTCATGGGGTCACAAGTTCAGCGTAGGCTGATAAACATGGTTTGCAGGCTACATTAGGCTTAGGAAACAGAGATGTATTCTTGTAGGGGGTGTAGACTTAATAACGCTGTAGAACAATATAGCTCCTTAACAACATCGCAGCTCCTGATTGGGTTTCCCAGTAGCCTCTGATAATACAAATGATCTAGGAAAAGGGATCCTTGTGTTAGAATGCAATGTTGATGTCACAGGTTAAAAATCTGAATATGATGATACAGGCAGTGATTAGTTTCGAGGGCGGAGCTCGAAACCATGCCAGCCATGGTTTCGATCAGAAATTCCTTCCAGGGGCTCTGTCTGTTTGAACTCTGGTCCCCAGATGGTGGCATTGCTTTGGGAGGCTGTGGAACCTTTAGAAAGTGGGGACAACAGGCAGTAGGGTGCACACCTTTCATCTCAGCACTTTGGAGGCAGAGGCGGGTGGGTTTCAGTGAGTTGGGGGTCATCTTGGTGTACAAAGAGAGTTCCAGGGCAGCTAGGACTGTCACACAGAGGAACCCTGTCCCGAAAAAACAGAAATACACAAACGGAAGACTACAGATACCTCCCTCATCCCTTTCGCTGTGCGTGGGTGGTGAACACAGATGTTCTTCGTATGCATTATGATTTCATAGTGTATATTATGAAAGTACATCTGTGCTTCAGTCTGTACGGAGCAATCTGCTTGTAGCTCAGCACCTACACCCTGAGTTAACCTACAATCTATGTATCAAACACCAGGCCCAAGCTGAATGGAAATCTCAGTAGCCTTGATGCATGGAACCTTCAATCATACTATACAGAGAGATCCTAACAAGAACAGGCAGAATCTCAGAGGCAAAGTGGACTGCCTGACGGATGGGTGGACCGCCTGACAGATGGATGGACTGCCTGATGGATGGGTGGACCGCCTGATAGCTTTTGTCCCTCTTCTCTCTAATCGGCTGGCTGAAGATGAGATGGAAGACATCTTTGGGCTGGTAGTCCAAGGTCTTCTCAAGAGATTCAGTTTCTTATTTTTTTTTGTTTGTTTTTGCCTAGATAATAGGTGTCTGAGAGCCAGGAAATAGACCGTTGTTAGACTCTGTGTTGGCTACCAGGTCTGCCCTGGACTTCCTAGCCTTCAGGAGTGTGGGACATAAATTAATACTGTTCATAAGCTACCCAGCTTCTGGTATTTTTGTTATAGCTACACAAGTAATCTGAGATGCTATGCAAACATTAGTCATCAAAGTACGATTTGTACTAAAAAACATTAATAAGCTGAAGAAACTCATTCCCCCCCCCCCAAGACAGGGTTTCTCTGTGTAGCTTTGTAGACCAGGCTGGCCTCAAACTCACAGAGATCCCCCTGCCTTTGCCTTCCAAGTGCTGGGATTAAAGGCGTGCGCCACCACCTGGCTAGAAAGCTCATTTTTTTAATGTTTTCTCCCACCGTTTCTCTTTCCCTTTATGCCCATTTCTCCTTGGCTAAAAGTTTAGTGATGGGAAATGTCTTTCTGTATATGTGTTTCTCTTACTGGTTGATGAATAAAACACTGATTGGTCAGGAGAGGCAGGAAGAGGCATGGCTACCAGACAAGAAGAATGCTGGGAAGAGGAAGGTAGAGAGGAGCCGCCAGAGAAAGAGACACCATGTAGCTGTTGGGAATGCCCGGCATTCTCCAGTAAGATAAGACCATGTAAAACTACAAAGATTAGTATTTAAGGGTTAATAATTAAGTGAGAGCTAGTCAGTAAGAAGCCTGAGCCATTGGCCAAACAGTTTATACTTAATATAAGTCTCTGCATGTTTATTTGGGGCTAAACGGCTGATGGACCAGGTGGGACAGAACCTCCATCTACAGTTTAGTGGTTGCTTCCTTCTGGCTGCATAGTGGTATCTCTGGTTCTGCAGCAATTTTTTGCATTAAGTAGCTAGTAGGACATTTAGTGTTCAAGTCTTGACATGTTTCAAAACAAATGGACTCTCTAAAGGAGACATGCAAAGGGTCCAAAAAGAACAAGGCCTTCACATCTTTAGCCCTCAGGGAAGTGCTTTTCAAACCCATGAAGAGAAAGCATGTGTGTGTCCAGGATGGCTGGGACCAAAGAGACAGGTAATGACAAACATCGCTCAAGGTCAGAGAGGCTGGTGCCTTCAGCCATTGCTGGAAGAAGCAGAAATGACATAGTTCCTTTGGAATAAATCTCCCTCAGTTCATCACAAACAGAAATGTAAAATTAATACCCAGCAATTCCACCACTAGGAATACACTCGTGAGAATTAAGAATGCCTCCACACAAAAAGTGGTACATGGGAATTCTCGCCTGAATGAGTCACTCCACGAGTTTGAGAAGCGGAAACAATACAAACGCCCATTCCCCAGGAGTGGGTGAATGAAATGCAGAGCACCCATAGCAGCCTTGCATTAAAGCATTACGCTGAGCGAAAGAGACCACTCACGAGAGACCACATACACCATTCCAGCCACACATAAAGTCCAGACGAGGCCAGGTCATCGAAACAGGAAGCAGATCCATGGTTGCTGTGGTAACTGTGAACCAGTTACTAACTGCTGGAGGAGAAGGGCAGAGACTGCTAATAGGAATGCGGCATCTCAAGATGATAACTGACCGTGGCGATGACGGTTAAGCAAGACTGTAAATACGCTAAGGAGAACCAAACTGCTCATTGAAGTTGGCGGAGTGGGTGAATCGGTAAATCTCAGTAGATGGGTTGTATTGAAGTCGTAAACGTTTGGAGGACAGGAGATGCCTCAGTTAGTACACAGCCTACTATGCAAGCAATGAGGGCCCCACTTAGGATCCCTAGCACGGATGTGAAGAAGCCAGGCGTGGTCACATGTGTCAGTAAACCAACCCAGGGAGGGTGGAGTCTGGAAGATCCCTGGAACTCCCTGGCCAGCCAGTGTAACCTTGGTGAATTCCAGGTTTAGGGAGAAACCCTGATGGGGATGTCCTTCTGTATCTATGTTTTTCTTATTGGTTGATGAATTAAACACTGTCTGGCCAATGAGGCAGGAAGGCAGGAGGAGACAAGGATGAGGAGTATTCTGGGAAAAGTAGGCAGAGAGAGCCCATCAAAGGAGTAACAGGTCCAGGCATTCTCTGGTTAGCCAAGACCATTAGTAGTTATGGGTTAATAATTAAGACAGAGCTAGCAAATAAGAAGCCCAAGCCACTGGCCGCAGTTTCATAATTAATGCATGTCTCTGTGTGTTTATTGGGGCCTGAGAAGGGTGGCAGGAACAGGTGGGAAAGATTCTCAGCAACAAAACCCTGTCCCCAAAGATAAGGTGGAAAGCCAGGAAGACGACGAAGTAACCTGTGTGTCCCCCACTCTATACATGTGAGTGTGCACTCACACATACAAACTAAAAAACAACTAAAATGGATCACGCCACACACAACAAAACAAATGCATTGCCTTCTAACAATTTATCCTAAGAGGGCTGAGAGGGTAAAAAGAGAATTCTGCGTCTGATTTCAGTACGAGGAAGAGGCCACGTTTCTCGATGCTTGCTCCATGCATTTGATGACCTCTGTGGAAAGGAAGAAGATATATACCCTGGGAGCCTCTGGGTCCAGCTAGCACCTCACTCAGCTCTTCATTACCAGGAAGCCTTGACAGCAGATGAAACCAGTCCTCACCTGTATGATCCAGATAAGACAAATCTCCAGTCTGAGATGATGAACTTCTCCTGGATTTGGCCAGCAAATTTCCTGCCTGACTTGGCACAATAAATTTCCCCTTCCACACTCCGGATGGAAATGTTCTGTTGGAGGCAAAGCGAGGTTGTCATTTCCTAACTGTGTTTATCAATAAACATGCAGGCTGTGACTGAACATGCCCCCCAATTCTATGTTGAAACCTAATCTCCAATGCGGCGGTTCCAGGGCCTTTGGGATGTAACTGGCTCATAAGGGTGGAGCTTCATAAAGGGGATTAGTGCCTTGTGTAATTGACCGGAGGGCTCCCCCTGCCATATGAGGAAGACACAGCGAGACAGGCATTTACAAACAAGGGCGGAGAGCCTCACCAAACACTGCATTTGCAGACATCTCCATCTTAGATTTCTCTGCCTCCAGAACTGTGAGAAATAAATCTTGGTTGTTTATAAGCCACCCTGTCTGTGACAGTCTGCTATAGCAGCCCAAACACACTGAGACAATTTGCATAGAAAATTGGAAGGATGCTCGGGAAGACTTTTATCTAAGCTTGGAGAGATTCTGTGCTATTTACATTCTTTGCTGGCCTAGTTTTCTGACAGTAGATGGTTACAGGGATAGAATTTCAATAAAAATAAGACAGCTGTTAAAAGACATGGCCTTGATGACCAAGGAGCCTTCATAGTCTAGGCCTTCATAAACCACAAAAGGTTTGTGTTATCAAGGAACAAGTCCATAGGTGACCTTAGTGGCACGGATTCCTTACTCTAAGCTGGCGGAGAGCTGGTCCAGTATAACAAGAGGAGGCAGTGTTGTGAAGGCCCCCGCGGACCCTGGGCCATTTGGAGAAAAGGTGTGTTCACAGTCCCAATCCTAACTCTGTATCTTTTCTCCCTAACAGCATCTGGTGTCTGCGCCTCAGCTGGACACCATGGGAGACTGTAGAAATGACAGAGCGGGAGCGTGTGGGGATTGATTTTAGGCGTGTGGCCAAGGGTTGTGGAATACTGCCAGGACACCACCAGCTCCAGTCCGTGGCCACCATTCTACGGGAAGGAAGGGCACTCTAGGGCCTCCAGAGGCGCCTCCCGGCATCTCAGTGACAAGGGGACACGCCCAGTGCTCTGTAGGTGTGGTCCGTGGAGGCAAGTCCTGCATTGACTCTCTCAATCTATTATGAGACCCAGGGAAGCCAGGCAGGTTCTGAGTAACTAGTTGTAGTCAGGGGCATCAGCAGAGATCCCTGAACTCAGTTGCCTCCCAGTCAGGGGGTGAGGGTCAGTATTTTGGAGGCAGATGTGTCCGAGCTGGAACCCAGACCATCCGTTAGCTAGGCCTATTCATGAAAGCTATGGCTAGTTTTCCTTTTTGACTTGGACTCAATGCTCTCGGTTAGACAATGCATGACTAATTAAATTCTTACCTCCATGTTTCTTTTCTTCCTGCCAGGAGAGGGAAGTGTGTATGTGTGTGTCTAGAGGAGAATCTACTTAAACTAAGAACATCAGCTTTCGGTTGGGTTCTGGGAGTTCAAGACACCCACCTCCTGGTCCTGGGAGATGCCCTGTGCTATGAGGTATATTGACTTTGTTTCCAGAACTGAGAGGAGGAGAGAAAAACGTAGCCTGCTTACAGGGTATTGGTGGTGCCCTGAAACTTCTCAGGCCCTATCCATCCATTCATTCAAGGGTTATAGGTGGGAATGGATTCATGCAGCTCAGGGTCTAACAATATCCTTAAGAATTCTCCAGTCCTTGTTCTCAACCACATGACCCTTAGAGTATAGCATAAGATGGAAGAGGGTTGGTTGACCTATAGAGAAATTTCAGCAAGAAATAAGCCTTCCCGAGATACTGGTGTGGGGCATGAGCCGCCACTGTGCTATCAGATGGATACTGGGTACCCTTAGAAGTGTCACTGGGCCCCTACCTTGAGATGAGTATCAGAGATCTGCACTTTGTCACACATCTCCTGGAAGAGCTCCACACCTCCCTGGTCCAGAAGCACACAGACGACTACCCCTCGCTTGTTGGCTGCCTCTAGAATGTCACAAAAGATCTCCACGTCTGTGAACACATCCATCAGGATGGCCAGGGTCTGCGCCAGGAGAGAGGGCTCCATTACCAGAGAAGTCAGGGCAGTGCTATCAGGCCTCAGCCAAACCTGCTAAGTCCGGGTGGGTCTCAGGGGGCTGAGGGGCAGGGTGGGGTAGGGGAGGGTCTGACTGGGCAGGATTAAAGGAAGGGAAGAGCGAGGCCAAAGTCCTGCCCCACCATGCCTGCCTAGGCACTTGTCTCCGCGCTGGAAAATTCTGAGGGGAAAAATTGAGAGGGGAGTAGGGAGGTGAAAGAAAACAAACCAACACCTTAGCAGGCTCAGAGGAGAGAAAGAAAACAAACATTGGGTAGTCTCAGCCATTGGAGTTAGACGGTACCTGGGACCACTGGGTTTCTCCCTCCCTCCCTCCCTCCTTCCCTCCCTCCCTCCTCCCTCCCTCCCTCTCTCCTTCCTATTTTGTTGTTTTTGTTTTTAGAGACAGTTTCTCTGTGTAGCTTTGGAGCCTGTCCTGGAGCTCGCTCTGTAGACCAGGCTGACCTTGAATTCATAGAGATCCGCCTGCCTCCTCCCAAACGCTGGGATAAAAGGCATGCACCACCATTGCCTGGCAGCCAGTGCTTTTCAAATGTTCTTAATCCCTTTAAAATTTTATTTATTTATGTTTCTCCTTCCTTTTCTCTCTTCTCCCTCCCTCCCCCTCTCTCTCATTGTGTGTGTGTGTGTGTGTGTGTGTGTATACACATGCAAGCATGCCATTGTGTGCACATAGAGATGAGAGGACCTCTTGCAGAGTGGATTCTCTGCTTCTATTTTGTGGTTCCCAATTCTTGGCTTGGCAGCAACTCTCTTTACTTGCTGAGTCATCTCTCACAGGTCCCTCCATGTTCTCCCCCCACCCCAGAGCCTCACTTCTTACACGACAAAGTTCTGTGTGCAAGAACCATAGTTAAACTAGATCCGAGAGAGCTACCCCAGTGGGATGGAGGAATCTTGATTTCCTAGAAGCCTCTGCATTGTCTGTCTCCTTAGAACTTCACTGAGATGTCCCACAGAGGACATCAAATTCCCACTCCTCTTCCTGCCAACAGCACTACAATTAGACTCGAAGGAATCATCTTTCCTCGATACTTTCTACGAATGTGATTAGGAAGCAGCTACTGGTAAACCACTGGTCACAGGCAGAACAGAAGACCAAGGCCAAAGCATTGGGAGTACCATATGCTTTCCTGACCACAGACAGAGACTGGTACAGAGATAGTCATAGCATCCACGTGGCTCTAATGAACGCTGGTCTAGGAGCTCTTGAGAAAAGGAGGCGTTTTACTTGTTTGCTTGTTCCCTCACTTACTTGCATTAGCTCCTAGTTGGTTCACTGGAGACACTGGTTTCCCGTATACGGCCCCTTGTGGAAACCATGCACAAAAATGACGCCAGCCTGGAGAAAGCTAGTCCGGGTAGTGCCCAGGGTCCTCAGCCACACCCGAACATTGGTTGCACCATACCTGAAGCCAAATCCATCCTCCTGTCTCAATCCTGAGTGTTGGGATTACAGGGGATACCTCAGTGCTAAGTTACTTCTGACCTTTCCAGATGTCAACAGATATTCTCCTCTAGGTTGTTGGATTTATTACCTTCCTAAAACCCTGACTGGGGTACAGTGACCATTCCGTTATTAGGAAGTCATTTAAAAAGATAATTCTGACTGATTATTGTGTTAAAATAACAAGACACCGTGGCATCTTTGTGGTCTGAAGTAAAGCCTGCTGAATGGAGTGCTCAACAAATGTGTGTTTGTTCTAAGCCACCAAATCTGTGGCGAGTTGTTTTACAGAGAGTCCCCAAACCATTGAGAGGACCTGCTGGGGATCAGTTCCCCAAACTCCACAAGGCAGCCCAAATACCCAAAAATGAGCTTGAACTGGAATATAGGAGGGTTTCTGGTGGTCACTTAAAAGCCAGCGTTCCTCAGGATGTTAAGTCAGTTCCTGTCCACCAAAGGGAGTCATTTCCTTTCGCTCCGGCTAATGGGACTTATGGCTTTCCAATTGGCATATGCCCATGGCACTTATGGAATATCAACAAGGTCCACACTAGACTCCAGGCTCCCTCAGTCCCTACTCACGACACTTGCTACACATTTAAAAGGCCCCTCAACAGTCTCCTGACCCTCCCCTCCCGTGTACAGCTGCCGCTCTTGGGGTCTTACTACGCTTGCTCTAGTCTCCGCCGCCTGCTACTCTCTCCTCTCTCCATGTCCAGTCTGCTGACCATGTTCAGTCTACTTCCTCCCTCTGCTCTGGATTCTTCCAGATGCCTCTGGCTGGTCTCCCTCTCATTTCTACAATAAAACCTGAAGGAGGAAGGTATTTTACAAGCAAAGCCTCAAAGACTGGCTCCAGAAACCTGCAGTTTTGAAGACATGGAAGGGACTCTAGTCAGATGGGGCAGTGTCTGCTCCTGCAACATGCTGTGTGGACCCCAAATCCTGGCCCTTGGGGGTCCCCAGGCTGGAAGCGCAGGGGTGGGAGGGGACCGGGATGATGACGGGGTCAGAACTGGCCCGGGGACCCTCAGTGCTGCTCTGTGCTCTGGCTTTCCTTTGCCTCTGTGTCCAGGGCCTTTGACCAATGAGTAATAACAGCAAAGGTTTGCTGAGCATCTCCTACTAGCCACAAGTTTGTCTCATGTGACTTCCTCAATACCAGCCCCCCAGCTCCCCAGGGAGGAGGAGCCAGGGGTACAGATAGCTTTCCACAACCACAGGGCTGGGATGTGGTCAGAGCTGCCATGGAAACCCATGTCTTCAACATTCTGCTCCACAGCCCTGAAGACTCTGATCGTCCTTTTGTCCAGCTGACTGTGTACACCAGTGGCAAGCTGAGGGATGGAGGCTACCCAAGGAATATTCTAGAATTTAAAAAGAAACATTCCAGTTCTGTTTTCCTGCCAGGAGAGCAACCCTACTTTTTCTCTGCCTCAGTTTACCTACACAGAGTATCTCCTTGCACTTTTAATAATTATCTACGATCTTCAGGGACTTTTGTCTATGGTATCTCACCTACTGCGATGAGAAACTAAACCCCAAAAATGTTTTTTTTTTTCCTCTGCTATTTGGAACTATCAGCCATCAAACCCTTTATAAAATAAATAACAGGTTTCAGGAAATAACCGTTTTCAAAGGCTGTGGCGGGCAGCATGACGTTGCCCCTCATATGCTGGATGTTTGTGTGCAATGTGTGCAGTGCTGGGGACCAAAGCCAGGACCTCACACGGGCTTAGCATTTTCGATAATCTATGATTGCCTCCACAGGGCCCTGCATCTTCTCCTCCCCTGCACAGCACTGAGAAGGCAATCACGGGGGCGTGGGGGAGGACGACTAAAGTGTGGCTCCATTAACTGTGTTTGCTAGCATGCCCCAGGCCCCAGGTTCAACCCCTAGCAGCGCATAAACTGGGTGTGTTGGTCACGCTTGCCATCCCAGCACTTAGGAGGCAGAGACGGGACCATCAGAGCCCATGTGAGGCTACTGGGGGGGGGAGGATAACTAAATCATTCCCCCACACACAGATAAGTACTTAGAACATAGCGTCACAGAAACACTGCAAAGCTCCCGGGGACTCTTGGGAAGGGCTATTTTTTTCTCACGCTTTTGCCCAACAAGGCACAACACACTTGCTGGCCTTGCAGCCTTCATCCTTGTCTGCTCCTGACTCTTTGGGGTCCCACTGGGTAGATGGTGATCTCCACGCCTCTAGGACACTCACCCCCCACCCCGCCGACCCTCCTGACTTCTTTCTGCCTGGAATTCTCCTTTCCTTCCTGGGGAAGGCTTACTCAGCCTCTGCCTCTCAGAGGCCACCCCTTCTCAGCACCCTGACTTAGTCACCATCTCCTGGGTCTGAGCTTGGCCCCACCTGCAGCTTGACCCCTGGCATACTCCAGGCCTCTCCCTCAGGGACAGGCAGCTGACAGGGACTTGCCTAAGGCAGGGAGACCTCGGGTTTGCTTTGCTGCCCTGGGCTGGGTGGAGTGAAGGAATTCAGCCTGAAGGGAAGGAAAGAGGGCGGATCCTGCTTCTTAGGGTGAGGAATGCTCTACAGTAGATGGTGCCTGGCCTGCCTCCCTGTCCTGTGGTGGTGGTGGGGTGCAGTTCCAGGAGATGGGGGAGCTCAAGCTCTTATCACCAGCTTCTATGATAGCCTGTCCATCACCTATCCATCTCTGCCATGATCTCTGTGGGAACAGGCTGCTCCTGAGCCTTCTTGTCTGTGTGCCTGAGTGTGTTGGAATGGGTGCTCATGTGCTCATATGAGCTTGGCATGTGTGAAGGATGTCACAATGTCAGCCTGCAGATGATGGGAAGGCAAAAATGTGAGTGAAGACTCAGGAGGCTCAGGCCAACAGGGACATTTAGGGGAACCCAGCCAAATGGGTCACCATAACTCACTCCAGAATACCTAGGGTCTTCCTACCTGCTAAGTGACCCTGGAGGTCCACACTTTTAGATGAAACACGCTGATTTTCAAGTTTCCTAAGATCCATAACATGCTGTGTCACACACAGAATGTTAGTAGGGTTTGGGCCAGGTAGCGAGAAGGAAACATCTCAAGCAGAGAGCTGGCTACCACAGCTAGCCCTGGCTTCTTTCTGGGGTGCTTCAGTGGCCCTGAAAGTGTGGCCGAGGGTTCCCTGTACACAATTCCCACCCTTAGGAGAGCACCAGTCATCCAGGAGACCAAAGCCAGTGCACTTAGCAACAGGCCAAAAGGAACCTCAGTGTTGCACGGCAGCTGAGCCCTGAGAGGTCACAGCACTTGCCTGAAGTGTCACAGGACAGCCCTAGGCTTCCCAGGCTCCTGACAGCCTGCCTGGGCCCATCTGTCAACTGCTGATGTCAACTATGTCACGAAATACAGTTCCCAAGCAGCCCCCGTCATACAGTGACTCCACCTATGACATCTCCGGTTTAATTTTCCGGAACGCTGCTCCCTCACAACCCTCCAGGCCCTCAGCCTTGGTGGCTTTCCCCAGCACTTTAAGATGTCACACGGTGTTGAGTCTGGGAGGGAATCCTGGCATGAGCCCAGGACCAGAGCCACGGGGGACAAAGGGGGGATAGGTCTTTATAGATCTCTTCTTCCCCCCAACAGTGGTAATGGGGATCAAACGAACATGGCCTCCTACACTCTAAACAAAGACTCCACCACAGAGCCACACCCACAACCCTAGATGACAGACTTTCTGCCCTGCAGCTTCAGGAAGGAGAGGTGGGCACCCACAACCCCCGTGGGAAGGAAGAGCTACCAGGAGGGGAGCCCTTCTACCCAGCCCCCCTGACAGGGCCAGCCACTGCGGGTGAGTGCCCGGGGCACTGGGAACTCCTGCCCTGTCTGCCAGGAGGCCTGGGGTCCCATCAGCTGGGCGCTTGTTCTGAAGGAATTTTTAGAGTCTACTTCACAGTCTTGTTAAAACATCAGCACTCTGGCAAGATCGAAACCTTCTCTGACCCCTCTTTTTTTTTTTTTTTTTTTTTTTTTTTTTTTTGCTTGGTACAGGGGCCACCGGAACACACAGAAACTCTGTCTTGAAAAAAAAAAAATGCAAAGAAAAGCAAACCCAAACAAAGAAAAAATGGGGCCACAGGGTCACTTGTGGGCAGCTGGGTCTAAACAGAGGCCGAGAGGACAAAGGGACAAGGATATGTGTGCCTTGATGAAGTGCCCCACCCTTCATTTGGACACACGCAGGCACACACGCAGGCAAGAGCAGCATGAACCAAGTGAAAAGCGGGGAAGGTAAGGGACAAGCATAGTAGTATACAAAACCCTGAAGCCAAGGCCAGGGATGGCAGGGGACTCAGGGTTGAGTGACAGGCAGTGGGAAGGGGCTGGAGGATGCGCAGAGAAACTTATCCTTCCCACACTGTAGTGCCGGGCATGGGTGTCAGTGGCCTAGGATCCAGGGACCAGGGGTCTGTGTTCTAGGGCAAACCGGTGAGAACAGGATGCATGCATCCCCCTAGCCCGGTTCTACCAGCCCTGCTCCCCACCCACGACCAAGCGGACACCAACTCTGCGTGGATACCTGGCTGGCCCGGGAGATGCAGCGGCGGACCAAATCTCTGATGTTGTTGTGCTTGTCCTTCTGGAAGTACACAATGGCGCTGGACTTTTCCCTCAGGTAGGGCTTCTCAGCCAAGGTCCAGTTGTGTAGCAGGGCTGGTTCGCTGACTTCCGAATCCACAAGGAAGTAGGTACTCGAATGTAGAGAGTAGGAGTCGAGTCCTTTGGAACCCGCCTCTGCCCCTCCTGCTGGATCTGGGGCACTGGGGGGTTCCTTGGTCTGGGCCTGGATATACTGGACCTCCACAGAGGACAGAAAGTCTAGCTCTCCTTCCTGGTTGAGAGCGTGCCTGTAAGCCTCAGCACCCCCATCCAAGAGGGCATCTGTGGCCAGCCGGACGCTCTCATTGGCACTAAAATCAGCTCTGGCTGGTCGGGTCCACTGGTTCTTGACATCTTCTAGACGTTTCCGGATCTTGCCCACTTGCCTTGACCTGCGGCTCATGCTGCTGTGATCCTCGGTCGCTGTAGGGAGGCCCGCCCTGGAGCTCTTCCAGGGAGAATGCAGTCAATACCAGGCAGGCAGGAATGGCGCTCCAGGTATTCCTAGGACACTAAGGGCTTTCCCATACTGGCCTACACAGTCCCTTCCTCCCCTTTTGCCTATTTGGAGAAAACGATTCCCAAAGCCCGCCCCGGACAGTGCTTCTCAGGGATCCTCACCTGCAGCCCAGCGATTGGTTTATCTCTGAGGGTCACCACCCTGCCTGCAAGCTAGAGGGCTGGATCAGTCACTGCCTTGGCACAGCCAGCCATGGGATCTTTCCTCTGCTTCAGCCGCAGGCTGAGCAGGCTTTCCCACTCAGTTGCACAACAGAGCCCCTGGGCCTCTGTTACGGTGAGGAGCCACTCCCCCAGCAGCACCAGTCCAAGAGATAGACGGGACCAAGGTGACTGTGTTCCAGTCCCCTCTGCTCCCTGGCTCAAACGCTAATGGGTTCATATAAGGCCAACAAAGTTCCTCAAGAACTACTCCTTTCATGCTTGCTTCCTCCTTATCCTAAGAAAGAGTTGTCTCTCTGGCTAAGATTTGCCATTGTGCCGTTTCTCAGTCTGCAAACAGTTTCCAGGTCCGGGGCTCAAGCTGACCTTTGGGAAGGATAGTTGCTGGACAGGGCTACTACTTCCTGACCTGGGAACCCATGGGATCCATCTGGGGGCTGGAGGAGGGGCACCACTTGTAAATGAACTCTGTGACTTCTGTGGCAGTAACCGGGCTTTCTCTTCAGACCAGATCCAGGCCAGCTGTGGGCTGGAACATCTGGAAGTTTGACTGGCTTGGATTGGGCTATGCAGGAAGGAGGCTGAGATGAGGGCTTGAGGACAGGTGTCTTGGAAGGGGATCTGAGAGAGCAAATGTTGAGAGGGTCACAGGGGAAGGGGGTTACACAGCAGGGAAGGACAATTGTCTTGTGAAGGTTAGCTTGTAGGCCACTCTGGCCATTGGTGGTTCATGGACACGATAGAACACATACAGGGTTGTTCTCCGAGCATTAAGACAGAGTCACATCATAACCTTCCTCCCTGAAGGCTGAGAGCTCCGAGGTGTTTTATCTGCCAGTCCATCATCTAGCAATGATCGAGGGCCTCTCAGACCCGGGTTTACCCCAGCACCTGGCCTGCTGGGAGCTCACTGAGGGTAGCCCTGTGGGGACAAAGTGGCAGGTGCTTACAGGAAAATGTAACCGTGCGAGGGGTAACACTAGAGGACAAAAGCCAGGCCCTGGCAATACCTGCTAAGGACCTGTGCCAGGAGACTCGAATCGAGTGTTTGTCAAGGAGCCAGAGCACGGGGAAGAGCATGGGGATGCCTCTGGGGTGTTGCCACTCTCTGGAGGAAGAAGACATAGACATCTAGGACCTTAGAGAAGTGGCCCAGGTGGCTTGGTCCAGCAGGGCAGTCATATTGTTTAAATTAAAGTCTGATCCAAAGACAAGAAAAGCAATTTTAAAAGGAATTTCTTTCCTCTTAGGACAGTCACTGAGAGATGTTTTTCAGAGAACACCCGAGAAACCGAGGCACAGGGAGGGAGGACTAATCAAATCCCTCCAGCACCCAGCAGCAGAGTCCAGACTGCGCTTCCCTACAAACAGATTGGGCAACTGCCAGATTTCATGTGTGTGTTTGAGACGGGGTCTCCCTCACTAGTCCAGGCTGGCCTGGAACTCAGAATTTGTTCATGCTGATTTAAACCTGTAGTGACCCTCCTGTTTCAGCCTCCTGAGCGCTGAGATTACAGGCATAATCTTAAAACAAGGGGAGGGGTCAGAGAAGGTTTCACTCTTGCCAGAGTGCTGATGTTTTAACAAGACTGTGAAGTAGACTCTAAAAATTCCTTCAGAACAAGCGCCCAGCTGATGGGACCCCAGGCCTCCTGGCAGACAGGGCAGGAGTTCCCAGTGCCCCGGGCACTCACCCGCAGTGGCTGGCCCTGTCAGGGGGGCTGGGTAGAAGGGCTCCCCTCCTGGTAGCTCTTCCTTCCCACGGGGGTTGTGGGTGCCCACCTCTCCTTCCTGAAGCTGCAGGGCAGAAAATCTGTCATCTAGGGTTGTGGGTGTGGCTCTGTGGTGGAGTCTTTGTTTAGAGTGTAGGAGGCCATGTTCGTTTGATCCCCATTACCACTGTTGGGGGTGGAAGAAAAGACCTATAAAGACGTATCCCCCCTTCCCTGCCCCCTCACAAGTGAGAATCCTCTCTTGGGAACTGAGACATTTGGGGTGGTAGTAGGGGCAGGCAAGGCATGTCTTGGCTTCTTGGCACCCAGAATGTCTATCTCAGTTAGGAATTAAGCACAAAATAAGTCATTAAGTCAGCGTCTATCAGAACAGTAAATGGTTAAGAGAGCCCGATCGAGGAGGGGGCTGGTGTGGATAGAAGACACTCTCACAGGGTTCCAGGGCCTGCTTGTGTACTGGAAGGGAAGATCTAGAGGCTGAGGCTGGGCCCTGGGGAGTGGCATGTCCCCTGTCACTTCACATCAAGGCCTGTAGCGGCGAGAGAATCATATAGTCTTGTTACCCAGTGACCCGAGATGCAGAATTAAATTGAAAATTAGTTGGCGTATTAATTAGACAGGCAAATCGTTCCCTGCCAACACCAATCAATTCCTTCTGCACAGATCAGCGAAGGCAGGGCAGGGTGGGGTGTTCTCCAAGCTGTGTCCGCCGGATGCCAAGGCAGAGTAGTTGGGGAAGAGAAGTGTCTGGGGTCCCTGCCAGGCACCCCGAATGCCCCCTACCCACAGAACCTTTGCTTTTCAGGGAGGCCTCCCTCCACGTTGGACCCCACTGGCCTCATCTCTAGCGTCTTACAAGGTCCCAGAGCCATCCCCAGAATCCCCCACTGCAAGGCCAGTGCCTCGACTCCAGATCCACTGTTTGAGATTTCTGACGTGAACAAAGACTACAGGAGCTCCTAGTTTTCTTTAGTATCAAGGAGCTTTTTAAAAATTAAGTTATCACCTACATGCACTAAAATGCGTCATTGTGAATGTGCTGCCCCAGAACCAAACAACATCCTCGTCTCCACTAAATCCTCTCAGGATCCTTCCAATGTCAGATCTCTCCCCACCCCCCCCCCCCAGCCTCGGAAAACCACCAATCACATATCTGTCTCTAAATAATTTTGCTTGTCCTTAAACGTCTCATAAATAGAAGCACACAGGCTTAGACTCCTGAAGCTTAGACTCCTGAATCTGGCTTCTTTTGTTGAGCATAATGCACTGCGCCTCACCCACCCTGTGCATCAGTAGACGGCTAATGTTTATGGCTGTATAGTATTTCATTCGTTGATATACCATAGCTTGTTTACACCTCCCAGTGAAAGGACACTGGGCTGTTTCTCACATGAAGGGTTTATGAATAAAGCTGCTATAAATAACCACATGCAGAATTTCATATAAATGACGTTTATGTACATCAGGTAATTATCTAGGACAATGGTAGATGTTCTTGTAACTCTGTAAGAGACTGCTGCACTGTCTTGTAAAATCTGAACCCTTCTGTGTGCCCATCAGCAATGAATGAAACTGTTCGCTCCACACTGTTCATGCACAAACTTTGTGTGTGTGTGTGTGTGCATGCACACGCGTGCACGCACATGTCTACGTGCACATTGCACATGTGTGTGTAGACATTCATATCTGTGTATACCTGCTGAATGTGTGGAGGCCAGAGGTTAATTGCAGGATATTTTCCACACTTTCTTCTCTGTCTTTTCTTCAAGGTCTCCTTGAGCTTGGAATCTCTGATCCACACTATCCCGGCTGGCCATGGAGCCCTGGGATCTGCCCACCACTACCCCATCTGTGTAGGGGCTATAAGTGCACGTACCACACTTGATGTTACAGGACTTGTGGGGGTCTGAACTCAGGTCCTCATGCTTGCACAGAAAGAATTCTATCCAGTGAGTCATCTTCCCTGTTCCAGCGTATAAATTTTAGGAAATAAGATCATGTGTTGCTGGTGACCACAGTTATGTAATTTGCAGACACAACAATGAAATACATAGACTCCCTTGTCCAAAACAGAAGGAAAGAAAATACCATTGGTGATGCCAAGCTAGAGGCTTTTGTCATGCTTCTCCATGGGTTATTTTGCCTTTTAAATGTGCTCTTTGATGTTTTACTGTGTTGTGTGGTGTGTTTGTGTGTATGCTGAGCAGAAATGAAGGTCTAGATATGTGGCAGAATTTACGGGTTCAGGGTTGCAAGCATTAATTACCTCAGTCATTCCACAAATGCCTGCTGCAGATGTGGGGATGCCGTGTTAGTGGGGCCAGGTGGCCACACAAGAACTAATGCCCACTGGGCCCCTGACCTTCTAATAAGAGGCACGTTGTAATTAGACTTTCTCTCTGGAAGGCCGCTAAGCCTGATGAGGCAACTCCGTCAAGGGTAGTTGTGCAATCCAGGCACAACACTACGTTTGAAGGATGGTCGGGGAGCCGATTTCCCCGATATGAGTTGAAAGGAACGGTGCTTGGCAGCCCAACCCTGTGAGCTGGCATGTCAAAGCCACACACCCATTAGCTCTGTGAACCGGGGGCCCCATGGCTCTGGGCGCCAGCACTGCCCTTATTGACTGAAGACACTGCCTGTCCCCTGCAACTGCTGTTATACGGGTTGGAACTGGAACAAAACTCCTACCGTGTTCTGGGTTTGAATTTGGAAGGTGCCCCCGGGGCACCCACACCCACCTGCCTCACCTGGCAATAGGTGTGGGGTGGAAGGGCCCTGCCAGGTGAGTATGTAACCCTTTCTCCCCTGGCTAGGGGTTCTTGCTGTCCTGCCCACCCAGGACATGGAGAGTAAGTAGATGGGGGTTGTGAGTCTGCTCCTGGATAATTAACGGAAAGGCACATTTGGAGAAAGAGGCCCCAGCGTGCAACCTTGTATACCTTCAATCACATGAAATCGGAGGCACGGAAGTGGACCTGCCCTGTCTTCAAGGGGAGATCTGTCTCTGCAGCAGGGAAGTGTCTCTTGCAATCA